CTTTGAACAGTTCTGTAAAAAACTATTAAAAAACGATTCAACAATCGTTGAATGAATCGTCCATTCATTGCAGCATATTCAGTGCCGCAAGTGAGTTTTATACACTGACAAAGAAAACAAGATTATTATCAGTATTTCTATTAATTAATGTATGTTTCCTCCACTCTTTATTACTACCTATTACCATACGTCGTCATGATCCATGCTGGGACGCTACTAATTGCTATCTCGGTGTCTCTCAGCCCTATAACATTCTCATTGACGAATAAAGGTTCAAATATAAAATTTTAGCAACAGGCAGGAACGTCGAAAGCATGGCAACATTTGAAAGATATAACAAACTACTGAAAACCACAAAAAACTCACCGTATCAGAAAACAAATATATGCTAAACTAATTTATACTACCTCACCGCGTTCAAACTCAAAAGTCGGCAGTATCAATACTAACTGAAACAGACACAAATAGATCATATTATGCTCTGAAGCATTAATTCTAGTAAATTAGTGGAGAAATTGGCACCTGACTTGTACCTGACCTCTTGTACGAGTGGCTCCGTTTCCGTAGCATTTCTCATATCCTCAATTGTCACTTGGTCTCTTCGAGTTGTTATGCTAACGTTGACTCTTTTCGTACCAGCTTCGCTAGCCCGCCACTTGAGACTTCCCGTCCATTGTGGGTGATTATTGATTTGAGAAATTTTAAATATTTTGACCTTCCGCTTCGCTGGTGTAGTTTTTATATTCAAAATTTCAAGCAGGTCCGTTCAGGTTTGAAGGACTTATGAGCTGTTCGGCTGCATAAAAATTGCTTCTATTCGTTTAATTGAAAACGAAATAATGCTAAAATATGAAAAACAATTTGCTGTGGCTGAACTGCGACCGGCACAATGGCACACGCAACTAAATTTAACTTTCATCATTTTCACTGCAAATTCACGGGCGTTTCAGCCTCTACAATTTATTATACTTTTTTTTAACTTAACAAATTCTTTCATATAGCATCAGTGAGCCGACATAGATCCATGGATACTGATGACGTAGCGTCAATTAAGGTATAACTAATGTAGACACGACTTGCACAGAAAATAGTCCCACTTTGAAAACATTTCGTCTCTCACATGAAATATATACTTATATTGTCGACATTTATCGTAACTACTGACATTTCATTCCAAAATTAATTATCGCTCTCAGGGCTTCGTTTATTTTGAATTTGGAAATGTTCTTGATGCTGTTATTCTTCACAGTGCAAGCCTCTCATATTCTTAAAAATAGCGTCTCACAAGAAAACAATTAACATAGAAATTATAATTAACATAGTCGTAATTACCATAGAACATAAATAATGAGGAAAATTTATCACAAAAGATTGGTTCAGTTGACTACATGAAAATGTGTTTTTCTCTCCCAGATATTTCGGGGAAAAAATTAGTAGCAGCTAAATTTTCATAGATATAAGTACAATGCGAATGAGTGCCAATTTCTCACGACTTAGTGAGAAATTGGCACCTAACTTGCCGGCCATATTGTTGAATAAGAATGCGGTGTGGCATTAAAACTGAATTGCCGACATGATGCATGTGAGCTCAGCAGGTGAAGTTTGGTAGTGCCTGCAGTTACAAATTTCGTACCTTTTGTTGAATCTAGGGCTCAGAAAATTACGTTGCTTTTGCAAATCAATAATATACTAATACGACATCAACTTTTTCATATATTTCTTCCTTCTATCGTTCCATGTAAATCATTACAGAACTGCATGTAAATTGACAGACTGGCCACATGCATTAAAAACAATCATCGCTCATATACCTAATTAGGACTCAGAACACAAAAAATAGCGTCCATGATTTGAATTTTGTGAATTGAACATCTTGCCGGGCGCATAAACATGAAAGTTAGCCTATGAAAACCCATATTTAGTTGTCGTGACTGCTATGAGTGAATTCTAGCTCTCGTGATAAAATTCCAAAGCCTAATACGTAAATATAAATTAAAAGCCTATTTTAGCATGCAGTCTCGAGAATCATAATGATCAATCGGATCGTTAAGATCTAACAATTTATCGAGCTTATATTTAATGCAAACAATTCCCTAACAATACTAAATCCACAATGATATACTCCCTGGCAAATCTTATAACAAATGTCTGTATGTCATATGTTAGAAGATTTTAATTTTACGCTCCTACAGGCATTGATATGCTATGAATATGTATGTTGAGTCTCTGAACCGTTCTGCAAAAACTACTCGAAAACCATTGTTGATACACTGAAAAAAGTCAAGTTTATTATCAGTACCTGTATTAATTAATATAAGCTTTCTCCACTCTTTCCTATTACCGTCGTCATTATCCATACTGGGTCTGATGACATGTTTATTTCAGCCCTACCGTCTCAATGACGGTTATGGGTTCAAAAATTTCGCAAATGTTATAGCTATCAAACAGTTAAATGTAATTACAAAAGCTCGACACAAATCCCAAACTACTGAACACCACAATGAAACTCATTATATCAGCAAATAATTGTATGGTAAACTAAAATATTATACTATCTCATGGCGTTCAAACTTCACAGTTGTCAGTATCGATACTAACTGAAACAGACACAAATAGATCATTTTATGTTCTGAAACATTAATTCTAGTGAATTAGTGGAGAAATTGGCACCTGACTTGTACCTGACCACTTGTACGAGTGTCTTAGCTTACTATCTGCTACTATTACTATCTGCATTTCTGCTATCCCCCAATTATCACTTAGTTACTTTGAGTTGATAACGTAGACTATTTTCTTGCCAGCTTCGCTAGCCCGCCATTTTTGTTGGAAATTTCCCCTTTCTTTAGATTCTATTTTTTTCTCCATGCTTATTGTTAGGTATGGGTTTGTAAATATAGAAGTTGGTTGAAAGACTTGTTGATGAAAACATCCGTTTAATTTTGCTCCGTATGATCGAGAGTATAAAGCCATTCCTTCATAATTTCTATATTTAAGTTTGAGTGAACACTCTTTGTTTTTCGCTTTATTTATTTTCGTAGACAAGGGTACGCACACAGTGGAAGCAGGTTGCCAGCGTGCTGGTTACCTGCTCAGGCTGGCGCCTGAAACCATAGAATACAGAAGCCTATTTTTACATGTTTTCACTGTGAACACTTACATTATTATCCTATGTTCATTCTTGTGGCAGGTTGGAGCAGGTTGCCCGCGCGGGCAAACCTGCTTCCACTGTGTGCGTACCCTAAGGGTACGTACACAGTGAAAGCAGGTTGCCAGCGTGCTGGTTACCTGCTGAGGCTGGCGCCTGAAATAAGCGCGAGAGGGTGTTCACAGTGGAAGCAGGAAACCAGCACGCTGGCAACCTGCTTTCACTGTGTACGTATTAATTAATTAGTGATTATTAATTGATTAATGCGTACTAATTGTAATAATACTAATAATTTCACTAATAGTGATAATTCTAAACTGATAATAATTAGTGCGTATTAAAAGGTTTTCACTGTGAACACTTACATTATTATCCTATGTTCATTCTTGTGGCAGGTTGGAGCAGGTTGCCCGCGCGGGCAAACCTGCTTTCACTGTGTACGTACCCTTATGCATGTTCGTGCTTCCTTTGATTAGGAAAGGGCTGACTCCAGTGTTAAATTTGGGCATAGCCTTTTCTTGTGTCACGACCACCCTAACTTTTGAGCTTCGGCTTTATACTTGAATAACATTAATGTGTTCCTAACTTATTGCAAAAGCTTAATCCTATCCTACGCTAAACTTGCTAGTTAATAATTGTAGTCTGCCCTCCTTTTCTACCACTTTGAATAATTTCCCTTTACATGACCTTTTAACTTGCCTTTTAAAATTACAGTTTAACTGCTTGCTGGCTAAAGATTTTAAGGTGGGTCAGAGGCTGTTAATATAGTGAAATAGTGCGTCTTATATTTCGGTTCGTATAGAGCCTATAATTTTGATTATCATTTATTCTACAGTTATTTTTCCTTTTTCTGTTCGATAGAATAACTGCGAATCCGGTGAGACACACCGTTCGATATTTTGGGACTTTCAGCGTCCCAATTAACAAATCAAGGAGCCTTCCGTTTGTTCATGATGTGTAGAATTTTGATTCTGTGAGTGAAATTATTAAATCTTATTGCGACATTGGAATACTATTACTGTAATGCAGAATTGTAAAATTTATAAGTTGTTTCTTGCTTCTACAATTATGTTGGGCCGGGTTTATTCGTCGGTATTACGTCGATGAGCCATGTATTGGAACTGCTACCAAGCAGCGTTTTGAAACTTGGTTCTTGTCTAAGTTTCAGTGAATCCTAAGCCATTTCGAGCCTATTGGATTTTGTTTTTCGGATCAAGTTCTAAATAAAAGTTCATCGTTTTACGGTTATGTATTAAGCCTAACACATGAGACCTCCCGTCCATTGTGGGTGATTAATGATTTGAGAAATTTTAAATAATTTAGACCTTCCGCTTCGCTGGTGTAGTTCGTTATTTCAGAAAACTTTAAGGATTATAAGCATACATAAAATTCACAAATGATGATCAAATAAAATATAAACAACAATAGAATTTGTCTTGGAAAAGAGAGAACGAAAAATCACCAGGTTCCTGCAGTACAATCTCTCTCAAAATTTCTGTGAACTGTACATTACTGTATATGCCCGAACAAAATATTCCAAACAAATTTGTTGCAGTCAAAATAGTGGTGCGATGCAAGCCCGATTTCAAGTTCGTTCCGTAGCTGTATTCTGGAGATGTGATAACTCGTAACCAAGATACGGATTCAATAAAAAAAACGGACATGCTAAGTCGGAAGTCGACTTCACGCCAACACTCTTATCAGTGTAGAAAAATTTAATTTTTTATGCGAAGGCAAATTTCTACGTCAGAGCATCATTGCTCGTTCATATTTGTAACCAATTCTACTGAATTTCGGATTGAAATTTAATGCCTGAAAGATTTCAGTCAAGGAGAACGGAGGGAAAGTAGAGTTATTAAGTGCACTTCAGATTAGCAGTTTATTACCTGCAATAAAATTTTTATGGAATAAATGTACTATTTATTTGAAATTAATTTTTGCAAACTCAATATTGTTAAATATAAGGTTAACTTATTAGGTAGTATGGACGGCACAGGACTATGATAGGTGGTTCTTATCAAGGCACAGGGCGCTGAAGCTAGCACACGCGCGTGTATATATAGCGATAAGAACTTCACTATCGTCTGCATGATTACAATAATTATGCGTCAAGTGGTATGCTTCATCATTAGAAATAATTGGTAGATATCAAAAAAACAGAGATTACATTCATGGTAATAAAGCAATTCTGTACCATAAAAATGCTGCAGTACAATTTATTAGGATATCTTCGATAAATAACACGAAATACTATGAGTGCAGTATATATATACGTATGCAAAAATAACATTCTCAATCAGAAATTTGTTATCAACCAACAACATTATTTAACGAATATCTATGTAAGTAACATAAGGATAGTATTGTATAAGCGATCATTTCGTGCAACATCATCGTAAATTGAAGAACAATAACAAATGAAGAGGAAGTCAGCTGTGGACGTGGTGTAGCCACCGCAATGAAACTCAATAGCTGGAACATCAATCACAGAAAACGCGTCAAGAAAATGTTGCCATCACAATCTCATAAAAAGTTACAAATTCTACCTGTTTTAGACCCCCATTTAAAGTTCTCACAATCGCACACTGACATAATACTTAACCTAATAAATACTCGGGTCTAAGGTTTACTATTGTGCCTGTTCTTAAAATGAGACATACCATTCTTTCATCAATCAAATATATAAATCGTGTAACAAAATTGGCATCGTAATTTTAACATTTAATACAGGGGACAATGTAGAAACTACATTAGGGTACAAATTCAATCCATCAGGATAGAAGATATTTGAAGTGACATTCAACAGCCGTCGTACTGTAAAAATCACACTCATTAGCGCGGCAAAAACCGTACGTCCATACATCACGTTTAGGATCATCAGGGAGAGCACCATTCCAATAGATCACTATTACGAAGCACAACGTCTGTAGATCATCAGGGAGAGCACCATTCCAATAGATCACTATTACGAAGCACAACGTCTGTAGATCATCAGGGAGAGCACCATTCCAATAGATCACTATTACGAAGCACAACGTCTGTAGATCATCAGGAAGAGCACCATTCCAATAGATCACTATTACGAAGCACAACGTCTGTAGATCATGAGGGAGAGCAGAATTCTAAGCGTTGTGCGGCGATGCCAGCTGTGTCATTGAGTGCGCCAGTTGCACTCCTTGTTCTCCTTCCAGTTCTTGGTGCCTGCAAAAATAAAACATCGGAAATGGGAAAGATCATCATTGAGCCGCAAAATAACCTATGATGCTAATAACCAATACAATTTGTGCACATCATTTGAGGCGGAAAGTCACATCTTTACACTTAAGCACCTGAAAATAATGTGAAATTTTCGAATATAATGTAAAACATGGTTATCTATTGCGAGAGTGCTGCCCGAAGTTTTTATGTGGTGGTATGAGTTCAATATAAGTAAACAAGTACCTCGATCATGACACTTTCTGTTGTCTGCTATACTCATCTGTTATCTGACATACATATCTTGTATGCAACTCTAGCTGTTGTACGCATATCAGTCAAATACAACTAGTCATTATCAGTTGTATTCTATGCTTGCCCAACTAAGATTGCAGGCAATGCTTGATATCAAGGCTCACCATCAGAGTAAACTTCCTTCTTCCAAACCGGCACCCTGGCTTTGATGCGGTCCATAATGAAGGTGGTGGCAGCCATGGCCTCTGCCCTGTGGACTGACGACACGCCAACGATGATGCTTGCCTCGCACACCTTCACATTCCCCAACCTTCACAAGAACAATTACAAAGAATTCGTTGGCACAAGTCATACTGAAATTCTTCACACCAAAAATTTCATTGAATATTTTAGTTTAAATGGTCTACTTATTTGCGTTTGAGTGATCAGTGGAATGTACTATGTTTAATAAACACATATCTATTGTTATAGTTACGTAGCTAATAAGTAAAAAAATATCTACATCAATACATTGTACCATTTATATTATAAATATATATTTAAATAATTATTCTAGTTTCAACTGACTTGAACCCTTTGTCTAGAGATACATTAACCATCATCAAAGCTATTTGTACCAAATAGCTAGGCAATGAGAGGTCTCGCCTATACACAAAGGGTGAAGAGAATTGCAATGCAAACATTGACATGATATGCAAGAGCAATGAGGCACACACTTATGGTTACAATACTGTTGTTGCATTACAGATCTTGGGCCATACTTTCAAAACTCGCTAGTGAACGTAAGTACTTACGCTCTATTTTCTTGTCTATGATTGGTGGATTTGGCTTGAAAGGCCGTCAATGATTGGCTGATGAACTTACGATCTCTTAACTTCTTTTAAAGAGGCCCAGAACTTCTAACCTGTGTATAATGAGGATGTTCTCGACAGGGAACTGCTTCCTGACTTCATCTGCCAGTTTTTTCATCTCCTTCTGTGCCATGACTTCGTATGCTTCATACTCTAGACTCACAACTGTCTTGTTCTCAAAGACGTCACGCGTCGTGCCTACAAACAGACTGATGGCTCCACATTTTGCACTTGAAACAATCTTAGTTGCTTCAGATACAGATAACTCGGAGAAAGTTAGCTCTATGTGAGTTATCCCTCCTGTTTCTTCATCTCCAGCCATGATGCGTTCCTTATGAGTTTGCGTAAGAACTTTTCAGGAAAAATTTAAAAAGTAATAAGGAAAGCAAAAAATTGCCAAAAGAATTACAAAAAAAGCTGAGGGTGTCCCACTTATTAGAAAATTAATCATCTATTCCCATCTTTAAAATATGAAGTTGATACTGGACATCAAGTTTTTTTTCCTCAATGAATAGTTTCAAAAATGCTGCATAGTTACAATTTTGCCTACGTTATATCTGAAGAAACAATTAATCAACTCTATAAAACTGCACATGCTTTTGATTATCATATGTTTTTCTCTTTCACCTGGATTGTGATGTCCCTCAGAACTCAGCTTAACCTGCAAACAGATTTTAATTGTTATGAAGTTACTAGCATTAGAGCATCCAAACTAACTAATTACTGAGACTACAGCAGTAGAATGAGTTGAAATTAAATCTCAATGTAATTTGGTTTAATTAAAAATTTGGCCAAACTAATACAGTTAGTAATTAGCAAAATCTTTTTCATCAATTCTTAAAAATACTTCACAACACAAACCATAATTTTCTCAACTAAAAAAACAAAATAAAGTCATGAGCAAGGGTTTACTGGTGATGCAGCTATTTCAAAAATTAAATTCACCAAACAACTAACTAGTTTACTCAAAAATATTTCAACACTACTTATCTAAAAATCACTATGCAAATGTACATACATAGCAGCATCAATCACATCATCTTTTGAACAACTACATAAATATCATGAAATCAACAAGCATAATAAAACTGGAATCATGACTGCATTAATTATACATTTGAATAAGTATACCTATGATTTTTTCTATGATTCAAAGTTTGTTAGCCTAACCATAGTTCTGGCAAAAAATACATTTATATTTTTTGGTCATTTGTACAAATGTAATTATAAATAAAATCAGCTTCAGAACAGACTGACAAGCATAGGGCAAAGTTAGATATTTTTGGATCCTGCAAATAATTTATAAACAGAGAGATGAACATACTTTTGTTTGTGAGAGCACACTTACCACCACTGATGGGAGGAATGAAGGCTATCTCATCACCAGCTCTGAGCCAGATTTGGTTGGTGTCATCAATATATTCTTGGTTCACAGCAACCATAACACATTTCTCTATTTTGAGCAGCTGTGGCAATTTACTCGAGACCTGACAGAGAGAACATATCTAAATTGTAATGGTGTGGAAATCTTGGAAATCTTTGTCATTTGTCATAAACATTTATAATACATTGGAGAGGGGGAAATCTTTTCTAGGAAAATATCATTAAATTTTTTAGAAATAATTCAGAGATGCTCAAAAAATGTTGAAGTTATGTTTAGAATTGAAAATCTACCTTAGCTATTACACATCAAATGAAGTACTGATTCTCCCAAGGAGCTAGAAAAAAATTTAGTTCACATCCAAATTTCAGCTCAGGAGAGCTTTATATAGAAGTCCAAATTATGGACATAATGCAGACATCATTTAAAGAGTATGAGAAATGAAATCTAGGTACCTTTTATTTGTTTATCACAAGGACCAAAGAGCAGTGCTTAAAAAAGTTATAATGAACTTCCTACCATAAAGGTATGTCATTTCATTGGAAAACAGTTAGGTTAGTCAAAAAATAAGCAAATAATAACAAGGTTATATCTTTTAATGGAGCTTTCATGAATAAGAAAGAAAAAATTGTACATAAAATGAAACAAGTATGTATGTATTTAACAAATTCCTACCTCATAAAATAACTTTTTAGCAGATGTAGGTGTTGAAAGACTGAAACTTGTTTCTCGACAGCCACTTAATTCTCTAGCAGAGGCAAAAAAAACTATTTTGACAGAAACAGTTTCAGTTTCATTGATATTCATGCTTTTATGAAAATTAAAAAAACATGTGGTTAAATTAATAAAAATTATAATGAGCAACTTTAATCTGAAAAACATTTATATGACACCATTAATGACCATTTTGTGGTATTACAATTTACTGGAGATATATGTGGCCTAATGTAGGTACATGTCCAAACATAAATTTCTCAGGTACTTATAAACATTTATATACAATTGAATAATTTTGTATCTTCTAAATTAAATTGTAAATACCATTCTAAAATCAAATTAAAACATTTTTCAACTTATCTTTACTTTCCAGTCCTTCAATACTTTATTACTCTCATACTCGTATATATTTCCAGTTTCCAAAATTTTTTCATTTTTTAGAATCATTAATGAAACATATAGTACATGATGCTGAAAATAAAAACATATATAATTTTTACACAAGTGTTATTAAAGTAGGTAGCCGTAGTACAGCTATAAATTTAAAAATGGTAAAATTTATTGCAAGTTAAGTTGCTTTGTTAGGGGGCTCAAAATATGGCTAGGTAGTCCAAAAGCACATGGTCATATTGTATTCCCATTGAAAAAAAAAACACACATTTACATGCATTCCTATTGCTCAAAGACAAGCAACTTGACCAATCTCAATCTAGAAGATCAGGCAGAATTTAAAAAAAATCTTGGGTAAAAATTATTGTTTTGCAGGTGATTTTCAAAAGCAGTAATCCCATGTTATTATTTATGATGAAGTGAGAGTTTTGCTTGTAAAGTGTTAGTTAAGGGAAGACAAATCTTGGTGTTGCTGTTTGATGACTGTTTTTAGGGTAAAATTAGAGATTTTGGGTAACGTGTGCATGGAACTTTGAAAAAAAGTTTGCGGTTGGTAAATACTAAATGGCTTTACATGGCCAGAATATGCAATATGGAATTCACGGCTAGAAGAAATGGCATCACGGCTCAAAAAAATTGAATCATAGCTGAGAAACACATATAACCACAGCTTGAAAAATCCAGCCATGGATGGCCAAATAGATATATTTCATGCCTGCATCCTGCCTGACATACAAGGAGCTAGGTAGGCATAATTATGTACTTGGTGTATGGACCAGCCCAGACGCCCAGTGGCAGTGTTGCCAGCCGCCAAGCGTACCTACATCCGGATCCAGGCGCAGCATGCTGTCATGCTGATGCTGCATCATCATCATTGCACAAATGTTGCTGACTTGCTGTTACTAAAAATTGTCAAAACCTGCTCCAGCGTCCAGCCATCAGCTAGCTGTTTTAATACTGGTATAAGCCATCAGCTAGCTGTTTTAATAGTGGTATAAACTTGAAAAGCAATGTTTGAGCCATTTAAAAAGTAGTATAAAATTATAAATTGGTATAAACTTCAGAAGAGTTCATGTTAATCATGTTTTACTAAGTTACTAGAATACTAGTAGTAGTACCATACTTACTTCATCACTTACTTACAGTTACCTACATGTTTACCAATTATGCTTAGATTCAAATAAAACTACAATTTTGTCTTTATAATGTCAATGCAAGGCTAGCAAGCCTTAGCCTTTTTCTCTACATTTGAGCAGAAATCACTCTTTATTTTTCAAATCTTCATAGGTACATTGCCTTGACTCTGTAAGATGACGCCCTGGGCCCCTGGGGCTGGAGCTGGAGATGCAAACTACAACACATTCCAAATGGCTGAAGACGTGACAGTGAACCAGATTATTGATCAATGATCATTATAATATTATTCAACTAATTCAAGTGGACAAGTCATCCTTTGGAGAAGCAAAAAAATGTTATGACTTATGAATGATACACGTTTAATTGGAGAAAACAGGAATGCTTCGGACTATTCTATGCCAAACTACAGAGTACAGAGCATAGTGGCACTGGCAAAGCAGAGTTTTTTATACTCTCCCTCAAGACTGAGGCTCAAGTCCTATAAGTAGACCAGTATCCTGGATAACAGCAGTGTCATACATAAGAAATTGAATTAAATTTGGGGTAAATGAGGAAATTCAAGATGAACTGATTCTAAAAAAGGTAAAAAGCTGTGGTTTGCCACTATGCTACAGACTACAGAGATTAATCAAGTCTTGTTCTCTACTGTGGGCGGTGGCTACAGCCTACAATTTACAAGTACGACAATGAAGCTTCGATACGAATCATACGATGAGTGGTCAGCCTGTCACTAGGCTGTTTACTGTTAGCCTGTCAGGCAGGTCAGCTTTGCGGATTTACTGCGATTTCCACTGAACAACTTCTCCAGCACATTCGTGATTCGTCTGGCCGCTTGTTGCGTACTGCCAACAAAAATGACTTGAAGTTGACGTGCACCTGACAGAGCCCCGCAGCTGTCGCTGGATGACAAATCAGCGCCAGCCGCCAGTCGCCACTCGCCAGGGCTGAGGGGCCCAGCCTCAGGCCCTCTTCTTCTTCTTCTTTTGGAGCTGAGGGAGCTCTGGAGACTCGTCCAAGGCAGCCCCCCGACAGAATAGTGCTCAGGATTTGCGCAACTGTGGGAAAAAGGCAGAGATGAGACATTGCAGAGAGCAGCCATGTTAAGAGACTGGAGCTGTTCGACTGTAATATCAATGATAAAAGACTGAAGGTCCAGCCTGGGCAGCACAGCCTGGAGCTTCTTTTGACCAAGTTGGTCTAGCAAAGTGAGAGTTTATACTTTACAAAAACAAAACAAAACTCCTGTGGGCTCGTCTCTGCCTCAGGCCCTCAGCTCAGCCTGACCCAAGGCTGCCAGCTGCCCAACTCCGTCGTCGATTCCTCGTTGCAGCGGAAAAAAACGGCTTCTTACTAACTTGAATAAAGAAAAAAATATTTAAGTAACATAAAGTAAGTACCTATATACTTAATTACTTTTTAAAAAATATTCTCCATTTAATAAATATTTTAAAAGGTATGCAAAGGAATACTTGAATAAAAAATTAACCAGCAGGACGCGAAAACATAATATGACCTTCAATTTCTAATTAGGAAATCATGACTTGTCAAAACTGCTTCTCAAAGCTACTGCATGACGATGCTACTTCGTTCACGTTTGTTTATTTTGCATAATGCAGTGTGAATAAAAGATTTGGTTCTGCAGTTCTGTTAGGTAAGAAATAATATTCATTGTAGGCAACGAACAGAAAAAAAACTAAGATTAATAAAGGGATAAGGCCTTTCCGAGTTATGACTGTATTCAAATTTCAAGTTAATAACAACTGTTTGCATTATTATTTATTAAAATCAATATTAGGCCTTATTAAATTGGTCCCCAATATTTTTTTTTGCTATATGATAAATATTCTCACAACTGAACAAAGAATGATTAGGAGGATGCTGAGGATTTTCAAACCCCGCATGGAGAATATGAAATGTGTACCCACGCAAATATGCTCTGCATGGTTGACTGGTGCTGAGTCCAAACTGAGGTAACCTCCCACCCGCCGAATTTCAACCTCTACAATGACATTATTTCAAGAGCGTGTGTAGAACTATCAATTGGAAGAACTACCAGTTATGCAGAGCAGGTGGATGTTTGCCAAATTCGGCGCAGCTATAAAATTCTTTTCTATAGAACTTCCCGCTCGTCTGACTAAAATTCGCGTTTTCTGGAAGAATATAAACTCAACGTTATTCATTCTTCAATCTGGGTGCCAGCTATACCCGAACAACCTCAAAAACGTGTTTTCATCAATATTATCTTTTAATTAGCGTCTAATATATCAAGTAAAGTTGATGATATCAAGTAAACTTGATGATATCAAGTAAACTTGATATCAAGTAGTTAGATATCAAAATGTGATATCATCATTAAGTAGTTTTACTGATAAGCGGTTACACTTATCTGTCTATGCTGGGCGAAGTGAAAAACCCACTGCGCTGTTTGTAAAAAAAAAAACGTGGTAAAAGCATTCAAAAATTGGCCATAACTAAATCGGGACATTTGACAACAGAATATTTACGCTAGATAACAATAAAATATGCTAACATTTTGACCGATATCATATCATCGTCCGAGTCGTTCAGGAAAATAAAATAACACGTTTCAAAGTTTGTTATCATTGTATAGACGTGAATAACCCTTAATTAACAACGGGAGCTGCGGGACTGAAATCAAGTTCAACTACGACAAGAACTCTACGCGTTTCAACTTGCAGCCTACATGCCGTTTCACACAGGCCCAGGGCGAACTGAAGGGAAGACGATCATAATCCA